CCAGTTCATACATACGTATAATCAAACATTGATCATATTCATATTTTATTGAATTATTACATCATGTGAGTATATGGGTATTATTATTATACATATTTATGTATACTTTTATTTTATTATCACAATATCATTTTATCATTATTTAGTAGTTCTTTTTCTCTTTCATCAATATTATGTTATTAATTGACCATGTTATGTACTCCACTGTGATATGTACATAAATCAGGTTCGTTAGTCCATTGTCCTTACATTACATAACAATATAGACCATGACAACACACAATAGGCGATATGACTGCAAAACACTTAAATCTCACGAAATTGGCATTCTTCATTCAAGTTTATTAACTAAATGAGAGACAATGGAGTACTATTTGAGAGCTAATACGGTATCGTGTCTGTAATTTGTCTCAACGAGATCTGGGCGGCCATGTGTGTCCAAGGCGGCCATATTGCTCTCAATTCACGGTTTGTTAAAATCCACCTTGGAAGACACTGATTGGCTGACTATGACAAAATAATTCCCTGTAATTAAATACATTCAAATTTGTTCACATAGACTTAAATTGTAAACATATAATGTAGCACACATTTTTTTTAAAAAAGATTTAGTATTCTACGGAAGTGCTTTAGATGCCACCGCAATAAACCGATAACGTGAGATACTTATTTGATTGGATTTCAAATACAATGTTTTGAGGATTAATAAGTGAGTTATTGCACAGCGTACGCGGATTCTATGACGTCACGTGTGATGTACATAAGCAATGCTGAGTTATGAGAATTTAAAAAAGAAGGTTAAGCTTATGTATAATTCGAACATATCGCGAATAAGCACATAACAGACATACAAATCGGATTAGTACGTGATTTTGATTTACGTTTCAAATCGATACGTAAGACGGATTGATTCAGAAACCGACTGACAGTGTGGTTGTGTTCAATAACACATATCAGTTAATATGTAAATTTAAATTACAACGCCATATAAGTCATTATTGTACATCTGTAACCGTTACGTCATGACTTACAGCGTGCCGTAATTTCGCAGTATTGTACGGGTATTTTCATCCTATCATATTAGGAAATGCGAATTCAAAGTATGGAACGATTACGCACATTAGCGTCCTCTAAAACAAAAACAAACATAAATAATAAAATAAAAAACAAACATGGCTGCCACCAGAGATTGACCGCACTCCAAATAAAGAAATACGCTGACTCTGTTCTAAACAGTCTGGATTTAGACATTCCCATGGTTTATCCTTGGAAGGAAAAGATGTATCATAATAAGCTGATAAAGGGATACCTCAAAGAATGCACTCAGAAAGTACGCCGCGCATCGACCTCGATGTACTGTCCTCGTGCATACTTTGATGAATCCTCATATTCGTATGCAGTCTCATATTCTCATGTGTCAATCTGAGAGATATCACTACAATAAAAAAATTATACGCCCTGCTCTCCTTCTTTTCACCAGCCAATGACCTATGATATATTAGTACAGCCTCGACACTCGACTGATAACGAGACTCGAGCGATTGCCTTTATTTGATTGATGAATATTGCAACCATCAATTCATACACTGTACAATATACTTATCCTGACGCTGACGCATCTACATTATAGACTTACGATTGACCTTTAGCTTATAATATGCCATTATTAGAATTTATTTGATATGAAATACGCATCGAATGACATACGTATTTATAGAAATAAAGTATTTAAGAAATTAAAACAGAACACAATAACCTGAAATAAATCTATACGTGTTCAGAATATGTCAACTTTCCAGTATTTGTACAAACATTACGGTGTATCAGCATAGTAATATTGCCATATAATCAAAGTGAAATTACATTATAACTTCGTGTGAAATCCGTTAATGCTGTTACAGTTTAATATGCATTTAATTAAACATTATAATACATGTCATTACAAATTGAATATTTCTGATGAGCTAAAACGTGAACAAATAACGACACTAGAAAAACGTAGACACTCCGTCAAAACAGTGAACGGACAATAACCGTTTAATGTGACATATTAAGAACGGTGTGAATTCAAGGATTATAGTTAATAGCGTTCTACATTTTTGTTACGTTTCTTTAAAAAGGAATCTAATGATATTGCTGTTATTGTATAGTTGAGTTACACTTAATTCATTATTAACTTAAAACACTCCAGCTCACGGGAAAATATTGCATCATATAATATTACTATACCATTACTATACCTCTCAAGTGACTACAGCGTAAAACACACCAGGAAATGCAAACATCCGATTACGTGTTATTATTAGTGGTGACGTACGTATATTATTTTGTATTTATTAGCTCACTCGAATATTTGATTGATCAATACTAAGTTACAGACTACCTAAGAAATAATTGATAAGCAAGTCAGATGGCCGCAATTGTTATCTAAACACATAGGAATTGAATAATTGATGAAATCAACGAAATGGAACAATATACATGGCCAGGAAATTGTAAACAAACAGTGAATCATTGTGACATGTACAGAAGTGGGTTAACATATGATAATTCGAACATCAAGTCTTCACAGTTAATATTACCCGTGAGGAACAAGTAAAAGGATAATCTTAATTTAGCAATCAATAAATTGAGATTCAAATAGCAGATGTTGTCTCCTTGTTCGTCGTATTGTACACGTAAGCATGGTGAATGCAACAAGTGATATTTGTGCATGTTTCAATTTTATTATTTTACATTATTATCTCATGTGCAGTGAGTATTTGTGCTTGTACCCTGTCTATGTAATGTGACTAGAATCTCGTACAGTTATCGAAGATTGATTTCAGTCTTTTCTAAACAGGCTTTTGTGTAGACACGTTGTACCGCGAAATTATATCCTCAGCCGAAGATTATTGATTGAAAATATAGTGTTATTGGAGCCAGCATCTTTGGAGAAGAATTGTTCTATTTACCGATCAGCCATGTTTAATGTTGCAAAATCTTTTTCCAAGTTAAGAAATTGGATAACAGCAAATCAAAATTGGTGATTTTTTAAATTTATGTCACTGTCGACAATCAATTCGAAATATTTAACAGAAATAACAGGGGAATAATCAAGATTCAATCGAAATGTTGAATCTAGTAGAAGATACTAATACAACTACTACCACTTTGACATTATATTTAATACAAACTTCAAAAATACAACTTCTATTGACCTGTGCATCTTTGACATTTCAAAATTACAGGAAACAAGCGAACAACGCGACGAACGTAATGTAATAGGGTTAGGTGTATACTGATGTTGTTGCTTCTCGAAAGAGTATTGAGAATATCTTGAAATGTAAATTCTATTTTCAGGTAATCGGCAATTTGAATTATCAAAGCTAAATATATGATTACAAATGTACCTTATAATACAATGATGTATGCCATGCATGTCACAACGAATACTGTTCCGTGATTTCACAACGAACGTATCATTTCTGAATTTATATACAGCGGTTTTACACATACTAACAAAATATGTGCCTTGCTACAGCGATTATCATACCAAGGTCACACTTAACGACCTGCAACAAATCGTATTACATGCGATTCAGACGTCAATACTAGAATGAGTAAAATAAGTTTACATTTCAGTGACACATCGTACATACAGCAAGACGATAACACGTTAATAAGTATATTTACTGTATAATTACGTACGATTTAAACAACACTTTCCATTAGAGAATGAACTGACCTAAATCAACGTCGTAAGCATCTGCTCGTTCCCAGCCGTCAGTTGCTTTAAAACCTGAAACTATATGTATTATATATAAAGAACACTTGAATCGTGGAGTTGAACGCATTCGAAGTGTGTTTGCGGTTCGGCTACGTTGGGCACTTAGTGTATATAATTCTTGACGTTTTGATATACTGCATGGACCCTCCGGTACAATCTTCTTCATCAGTTGTACAGTGTTCCTTTTTAAATATGTGTGTGGATATTCGACCGCATACATAATAATCTCTAAGAGCTATGACAACATAGATAATCGTGCTACATAATTGATTGAGGAGCCATTGAAAATATTTTGCTTTGCTTGTTTTTTCAGGGGGAGATATATGTTTATTTTTACACAAATAACTTAAAAATGACACTTTTTACTGCAAAATGTATTTGTAATTACGTTTGTATTTGTAATTTCCGTTCTTTTATTGGACACAGGTCCAGTGTAATTCCACTCGAAAACCGATAGCGTTATAGTCACAGACTGCAATTTAGGTGCCTGTTATGATATTATAATTGGCGGACAAATTGCTGAACATTTTCGTATGCTCTGTAAAGATAGTAAGACGGCATTATATCGCGTAGTTATCAAGGTCGTACATCCCAGGTGACCCGGTGTTCGTAAAAATTAACGCTCATATTGTCAACATGTTTTATCCGGAGTGTCTACACATTTATCTGTGATTGCTACCAGAGAACGAACATCATAGCAATTCGATATAATGTAGTATATCACATCCCATTGTCAAAATAGCCTAGACCAAAATAGAATCAATAACAAGATAAATTAAACAAATGACTCGAATAAATGCAACAAACTTACAAATATATATGGGAACAGGATACATTCTTACCATAAGATACGAAATTTAACAAACGTCCGTTACATTAATGGGCGCCTCTGTGAGAAATGTCTGTTCTGTTGAGCCGAATTAGGTGTAGCTTGAAAACCAATCAGGTTAGGCGTACCTGATATCATTGTGTACCAGCACATAAAGTTTAAGGCTTGTAACCATATTCATAAATGCATTGACGAAAAAAGTCGTGGAAAAAGAAAGAAAAAAGGTAGTAAGAAAGAACTAGCTGAATAATAACAAGAGACCCTAGCCACTTTTCGCTCTATATTTTTTTCACTAAAGTACACAAATTAACAAACTCACTCAATATGATACACGAATTGATTTTGTTGTCTGTTTGAATGCAAATAACAAATTAATGTAAGGTTACTTAAATTACGGATACATCACACAGGGAACTGAACATCACTTTCTATTATGACAGAATCATCAATGTCTTCTATGGTGAAGTAGACATCGTGTGAACTGTCCGATGTTATTCTTAGCATGAAAGGAGCTGGAATATTACCCAAGCCCCAAGCTTTGTCGAAATAGTTACTCCACTGTAACCTTGGGAGGTTAATACAATCTTTTGCAAGATACACACACACTGCCGCAATTGGGTATCGATGATATTTTATCAATAGGCTCCAGGCGTCGCTTGTACTTCCTATAGAAAACTATAATATAAAAAAAATATGTTTGTATATATTATTAATTATCGATAGCCGACAAAATAATTACACGAAACAATGCTGTTATGTTCAAATTTAGTGAATTTTGGCAATTTAGTTTTAATTGAAAGTCACAGAATAATTAATAATAAACTCGATGGACTTCGTTCATGTGTTTTTGTGATGGCTTTGTAAAAACGTACGAGAGTGCGTAAACCGTTCTTCGGAAAATTTATTCATGAATCATCTAACCATCTAACAATACAATGCTGATAACCCGTAGATAGAAAATGGCCGATGAGATTCCATTGAAAGCGCGAGAGCCTTGCGTTTTGATTTTTTCTTCTCAACTGGCGGTCTCTTTCTCTCCGATCGGATCATCTGTGTTTCACATATCTATTCAATGTTGGTTAGGCTCTCTTGCTCCAACCGATATCTCAACAACTGTTTGCGTCTAAGGAGCATTCTAGTACGATGGGATTACCTTATCTCACGTTTATGTATTACCGACTAATTTTGGTAGGCATGGTCGAAATGATGTTTCAGACGAACCAGCATGAACCTTCTTGCCGAAATAGTCAGATTGAAGTGCCACAGTTCGAGTTCTGTGAGAACAAACGTAATCTTCCAGTGGTACATTTAGATAGTTAAAATGTTGCAATGAGTGCACGAAATACAATACCTGAAACATCATGTAGCCTGTGACTACACACGGTACAGGGCGCCAGAATACATCAATATAACCATTAATATCAAGCACAGTCCCGAGTAGAGCGTTGTAAGCTGTTTCACTCAAAAGCAGATCAGTGGAACCACAATTACCACAGCTGTCAGCTACCATAACATTCAGACAAACTCCATTTGTTCCAGTGACTTCCAAACATGCTCCACACATCTGGAAATCGTATATAATTTTTTAAATAGCGGTTATTATTTACCCAAACGCAACTCGATTATAAACATTTTCTCTGAAATGCTACAGTCTAAAACACAGAAACAATCATTTCATTGATAATATAAATGACCCATGACCAGATTTACAGTATAACACTAGTAGTTAAATCACGAAAACTATTAGGTTAATAAGTTCATGTTCAATATAATCAACTGCTTATATTTGAATGTATCCATACATTTGATGATTTATACAAATAAGAGATATTGTAATTACGTATACTACTACAAGTCGCATGCGCGTATTGTGCAATGTGCGAAGAAAAATATCGTAGAAACTTACGTCTGCTGTGTAATCCCCAATTCCTGTCACGTTGGCAAGCGAGTCGAATGGCCCCAAGGAACAGGCATCGAACGCCAGTGCCCTGGAAGCTGTTCCTGAGATTGTCGCTTCTGTTTTCATGCATTGTGTTAACACATCGTTAGCTACAAAGTTAAAAATTACGCTAAAGTGTCGTATAACTGAGAGGCGAAAATCAATAATCGAATCTTCTACCAATCAACAATTTTGAAATTGATAAACCTATCAAAGCATTATCAAATTTATGTATAATGCACGAATTTGTATTTTTGGAATATCATTGCGTAAAACTAAAAATACATGAATACAATATGTTTGTATTGCCTGTATATCACGGAGGAACTCACCGCAATTACGTGTTAGTATTAAGTATATATATTACCCAAACTTGTTAAAATAAAACCTATTAATAATATATGTATACATACTAGTAGTCGGCGTATGCTCTATTACTGTAGCCGTCATAACGCCGATGGTTACATACCCACTAAACGTTATAAATGTTGCGTCTGAAGTTGGGTTACCTTCTATTGTCTCGCTGTATGTTGTCAATTCCAATGACCCGTCTGTAAGAACAGAATGGAATTTCGATCAGCAGCTCGACTAAATCCCGAATGCTCATTATTGTTTATGTCTTATAGTAAACAGAAACCGGAAAATAGTTTTTTATTCCAATGTTTGTAAACACGGGAATCAAACTACACTGTATTTGGAGTTTTGAAAAGTATCTGCATGGCACCAACACACTATTTGCTGTTGGGCTTAGAAAAGAAAAGTTTATTGACTTAAAGTAGTAATTAGATCGTGTTAAAAATAACCCAAATCCTCCTTGCAAGAGTTGTAAGCAAATATGTTCTTACATTTGTTTCATCTACAAATTTTCGAACAGCAGAAATTGTGAGCATTGTCCACATGACAAAATCCACGCAAGGCCAAATGCTACTGAAAAAGTGTTATCCGCTTGTTTTTATTCTGTTTTAAGTCACATTATGTATGTAAATACTAGTGTATACAATAGTATGTAAATACTACCCTAAAGTTAACTTGCCTACTCACAATTTGATCTATCAAACATTGATGAGCCTAAGTTTATAACAAGGAATCAAAATTCTCCTCATTATATTACATAAAAATGCAATAATTTAGCATTGTCATTTTGGCAATGCATTCGAATCTGTCAATTATATGTACAAACGTAGTTACCTGTAGTAACGTCAAATGTCGAATATTCATTTAACGTTGATGCGTCTGCAGTTGGGTTTTCCGTTGATGTCGTCTCTGTTGTCATACCCGGTGACTGCTCTGGAAAAACAAAATTGAATTCATCTCATTAACGCAACCTTTTCATAACTGATCATTGATGTTAACGTATAATTGTATGTTTTAATTTAGTACTTTCAAATTCGACCGGCTTTGTGAGAAAAACCTTTACAAAGAACAGCAACAATATGTGTATTGTAAACAAAAGAATGAATGCGTCTATTGTTATTGTTGTATGATTATATGCAACGAAATCGCTTCGGTTCGATTTGATTTGAGAGAAGATGGAAAACTAGGATACTGACTGTAATCCATTATGTGTGTGTACAATCATATCCTTGAAGTCAATAATATGTCACTACAGGGCACACAGTTCACACAGAACTTTTATACTTGCCACAAAATACCCTCGCTTGGCGTTTATTTTAAATACATTGACAAAAAGTAATATTACTACTATATTAGTAATTGAATTAAACTCAGACATGAAATTTCAAGAGTTTCTGTTTTGCATTCATTAGCATTCGTCCTTTGCATCTTTAAAGTTTGTTTTTGTGAACGTCAGCGTTTGTAACATTGAGGGGGAAGCTCCGTCATATAACCTCGACCCAACTGGACATCCAACACTTGCTCCATTTTTAGGAAACTATTAACGCATTTATAATTCACTCCTTGACAGCTTATTGAATTTTGGGATTAATGTTGAACCAGTTAGTAAAACGAAATCTGTCCATGCATATACACATCTGCAGTTGTCACAAGCTCTGATTCAGTAACACTTTTACCCGTCGTAGTGCCATCGATTGCATATTCACTAGCTATTTTTTCCGTAGTAATTTCTGGCGTCTGGTCTATAAGAACAGAACAACAAGGTGAAGTTCATGTCTAAATATAAGAATGTAATAACACAGCAGCCTTATCGTGTCACTACTGTACATAAATAGATGTTTCGAATACTTTCATAATCGATTGGTTTCATTACCAAAGAACCTCAATATTTATGTTCAAAGGTTTATGAAGATTTGTATTGCAACTATTTGATACGTTTGTGAAAGAATTTTCTGTTTTGAAGAAGATTGTATTTGTATGTATTTCTGAGCTTATTGAAATATTGACACTGATAAGAACTAGAGACAAAACATCAACATTGAGAAAACAATTTGAAGAACAATTAAGACATTGCATACAAGATGAAAGCAGATAGTATGCCATCTCAATTCAGAGGTTAATATTAACATGATATTAAAGTACGTCACAATATTAATGAATGTTTATTATAGCACTACGAATGTTGAACTGATGAGAATAATGATATTTATGGCTGCGAGGAACATTATTCGCAATACAAAGGTTGTAGTAGTTCATCCTTGGCTAATGGAAATGTTAACATTGATGCATACTTGGAATAGACAAGACCTTGCAGTGAATATTTAAACCGTATTACACGCGACATTTTATACACTGCATAATGAACATCATCTATAATAACTGAAAAAAATAATACAGAAACAAAATTGCCGATAAACTAACAATAATATATTGATGTCCAATTCAACATAGTTTGACCTACTAACTAAACAAGAGATTATAACCTAAATAATCACAAATCATGCCTCTAACAATTAAATCTTATAATTTGGGTGATTACCTCCGAGCAAAACCAAATCACCACCGCTGCCATTGAGGGCGCAACTATCTGATTACATTGCTGACAGTTATTTTATTTTATCTGTATTTAATATATATATACATTGTAAACAAATTAGTTGGTATTTCCATTACTAAATTATAATACAATATTACGTGCATTGTGTCTTACCTATTTCCTCTTGTATATCGCATACATATTCTAGTTTATCACATAAGTTGTCCAACATAAGTATCTAAAAGAGGTAACAAAATAATCTGTTATATACCTTAGAATTTTACCCGATGTTTTATTTAACTTAATAAACGAGTTGTAAAATATGAGTACCTTGTGGTAGTTTTTGAGTATCATCGAGCGGGAAAAAATCAAACGATGTTATCAGGCACTCAATCCTATATGTCAGTCAATTGAATGATTCTTTTTAACAACCTAAAGGGCGGTAGTCCTCGCGTTGCGCATGCGCGAGATGTGGGTCTCATATCAACAAAGATGGTGATTTTAACCGTTGTGCACACCAATTTGTACAAGTGAAGCCCATTAGAAACGCGCACTGAATTGTGGAAAATCAATGTTTATCAACACAAATGTCGCACATGCAATGCGCGATGACTACCGCCCTTAAAATAACTTTATGTTTGTCACGAGCTTATATATGTGAAACCAAGTCCACCGCAAGATAATTCGTCTTACGCACAATGGAGGACATGGTAACCGAATTTGAGCTCTGGTGCAAATCTTCCGTCCAGAGAAATCTTATTCAAATTTCGGACTAGCTAATCTGGTGTGGTGAGGAGCATACAGGCATTTATACCACGGAGGGGGGGGGACTTGTCAAATAGAAAAAAAAAATATATAAGATATATAAATAAATGAAAGGATTTATATTAGCTGATATTTAGTCGAATATGTGGCATTAAATGCATAGAAAACGAGAATGATACATCATGCGAAACACTGAACTTTCATGTGAGCTTTGGTGTTATTAATATACTTGATACAATATATCGTCATAGTGTATTTCGGTGTATTCCGTCACAAACTGCCAAATTATAATAAAACTAGAGCCCCAGAACACTGTCATGATTTATATTTCCATGTATTTATATGAGCCCGCAATTATAACGACATTCACTGATTACATCTGGATAATTGGTACCGGATGGAAGATCTGGACGATATAAATCCACACCTTCTCATAGTCTGTCATGATCAGGTTCATACCGCGTATTGGGGGTTGGTGGGATCAGTGAGTGGAACAAATAGCGGATATAAATGTCAACTATGGAATGTTGTGGCGCCCATGAGTATAAATTAACGGTTTAAATGTAGCAGTTATTTCCCAATATAGGGGACAATTATTCAAATATATTATGGCGTGTTAAATACTTTATGTGATTGGCTATATGAATAGAATGTGTGGAGGCCACGCCTCGAACCCTTGAACTTCCATGTGAGGTGCGATGATTTGAGAAAGGAAATAAAGGAATGTCAGGTAGTTCCCACAGAAAGCACCGAGACAAGAGGTTGACACAATTCTAGATCTGTGTGTATCTTTGTTCGGTAAAAGGTTGCGAACGTTACGATCCCTGGTACATGAGAATTGGTTTAATTACACGATAATTAACCTATCATAACACAATAAAATATCACAATATTAACGTGCTACGAGTGTCCGATTCTAAATTCACAACAGTAAAAGAGTCGCACAAGAAAAAAACACAGAAAGAGAGCTCAATTCTGTTCTTCTCGATAACAGGATACGATTTCGGTTTCAACAGCAGCCACATGAACACAGGGGGTCAATGTCTGTTCTTCGTGGGCTGTTGTAAACTCTGGCATCACAATACCTTTAGATTGACTCTTCAACGCAGTGGATGGGCGTATTCAAATCACACGCAGACATTTCGAGAGTGCCCCCCCCCCTATGCCGCCGCCACTGTCAGCAACGACCACGATTCTCGTTCGTGCGGCGATGGCCCCTCGGTAACGATAAAACATGTTTGTTTAGTCCGACTCGAACATGGCGAACTTTTGGCAAAGCAGTTTTCGCAGTTTAAACTCGGTGCTGGTAGAAATGTGGGTACGGTTTTAAAGATAGCATCTATCCAGGAATTATTTGTCATGTATAGCTCGTAATCAAACAAGTTTTGAATAGATACTCATACAATTTTGCAAAAAAAAGTTGGCCGTGGTGAAAAGGCTATTCCTTTACATTTTAGTTGAGTTGGTGGTCTGGTTTCCATGAAAATGGCATTTTTAAAAATGAGTTTCCATCTATAACTCAAAAAGCTATAGGTCGTGAAATTTGCAGCAGGAATTGTCATTTATAAAAAAAGGCCAGCCAGATACACATTGGCAGAGTTGGTGGTTCCCTTGAGTCAGTACTAGGTTTTGTATATCATATTTATTTGGACACACATATAGGTGATGTAAAAGGGTCTTTTCTGATCAGTACTAATTATAAAAACTGATTTCCCTAAAAATTTCCCACATGCATCTATACAGAACAAATTCATTTAATCTGAGATATTACATGATATCGCACAAAAATATCAACAATCCTGAAAGTCTATATTTTTTTGGAAACAAACCAAACAAAAACATGGTGTTATTCAAAACATATTTGTTATTCAGAAACTGTAATCACAGAGCCCACAACAATAAATAACATGTAGGTAAAACTTGATTTTCAGTTGAAAAAAACCTAGGTTTGAAACAAAGTGTCAACGAGCATGAGTCTCATCCTTAAATGACTAATCACTGCCGGACTAATACAGTTTTTGGCGCATTTTTTTGATGTTTAGAGGAGGGATTTTCTTTCACACATAAATCAAGAGATTACATTTATTGGACACCTAGATCGAGTTGCTATGGAGACATTTAATAAGTTCGGCTATTAGTGAAATTCACTGTTTTGAATCTGTGTTCAAGGTTTCGACTCCCAGAGTACTTTCTAGTTAATCACTGTTTACAGTAAAAATCGATAGCAAGATTACAGCCAAACAGCTTTTTTGTTAGGGGGTCTAATAAAACTGTCATACAAATACGTGGAGAGCATACTTGTAATCAAACATGGCAGCACCAAACTGTATTTTTTAGTCAATATTAGAGCCATCATTTGATAAACATTTTATACATTTTTTTAAGTATCATGATATTGGTATAAAGATGAAATCAGTTATTTTGTTATTTTTAATAGACAGTGGTCGACGTGCAGCTGTTCGTTGAACTTGGTATTAAATATACGTGTTTGTGTCTGGTGACAGACATTTGCTATTGACATTGCAATGATTGTTGTCAAAATGTAAACATATGACGTCACAGTGCGACAGTTTATACAACGCTTGTACATTACAATGTTTCTTTACACCACATTCGAGCATGCGCTACGTAACCACCACCGCCATCTAATGAAATTCGTCGATATGCAGATATTGTTGTCATGGGCATTGTTGTATTATAAACGTTTAACATGGTACTGCAAATAATCGGCATACATCTGTTGATAACTACATCGAACGCACATAATAGTAATAAACTTCCAGTGTGAATTAAGGCATACATTTCCTACTTTTTTTAGTTTAGCAATGCGATAAATGTTTCATGACAGCAACAGCTTTGCGTTGCATAGTCAATTACCAAATACATGTTCTTCTTTCTTATAATATAACAATAACTATTAGATTGACACTTTAGAATCAATTGATGCCTACGATCAATTTACAGTACTGTGCCAGTTAATAAGACAAAACAAATATTGAATGACTGAATATGTGACGCGTATGTATTACACACGGTAATGCCAGAGCGAATTTATGAGAAACGGCGGTCGCACTCATACTTATTGTATCTAAATATTCTTATTAAGCAAATCCTTGTGATTGAATTCAGTATTTAGCTTGAACAACCTCACATTGAAAGAAAATAATTTCTCATTCAGGTTTGATAAAGAACACAACATATTGTGACGCACATACGGCATCGAATGCTGCTAATGAGATTAAACTCCGTCGGAGGAAGCTTGTAGAACGCTCACACAAATAACTTTTCTGACGTTTGTTTAAATCCATGATATCCAATTTATTGACCTCGTGTTTCAGATCGTTGAAACACATGCTACATGTAGGCGTGTCTTGTAACATGGATGGATATTATGATTACCGTCTATACACGCTATAAATACGTCAACTGCATCAAGGAATATGATACATACAGGAAGCTATACATCAAGTATATCTTTGTTTTACAGATTACTGTCCCGCAATACGATTAGAGCAGAAGCCGGATTGATTGCATGAACGTGAAATTTTATTATTGTAAATGTTATCAGTGATAGTGGCAACACACATTTGTTTTCAATATAGTTTGCACATAATACACATTGACCTGTTAATATCCAAATTTAGGTAGTTACCCCCTTTAAACCCTTGAAATAATGCTATGAATAATTCGGGAATGTTGTAGCGATTGCAGAAAATGAATCTTCGCACATTAAACAGATCGAGTAAATAAACGAATGTGTCGGTTTTAAATCTTAGATATTAAAATATTTTATTATTTACTATTGAAAAACAACACATTTACTGTGAAAAAAAAAACAGTAAATGCGCAACCAGAACATTTCATATAAATTTATCATGATACACAAAATGAAATGAACTAATACAGTAGTTGTATACATAAGCACATAATAAGGTGAACCAATTATATTAAATTAAACGAGACTGGGTGAGCCGCTGGATTCTTATCCCAATAATAAAGACACTAGTAACGACGAATTAACGACGGCTTCACAAATGTCTCCTAATATCCATCAATTTACAGAGTTGTAATTGGAAGTTATATGCCGCAGTTACCTGTAGTATGGATTCTAAAGATTATATTATCATATTATGTATATTATATATGGATATGCTGTTCTTCCTAGGGCAACAATTTGTAGTATAACATTTCTCTCTAAATATACAATCATCGCATATTTCATGATACATAATTCTCTCTAATTGAAGGATTGCACATTACCCAAACCTTTCTTTAGAATGTAGAGGTTTATATTTATAGCATTAATGTAACCGCATTAAAAGCATAGAAAACATTTGCAATGATTGAGACTGAATGTTTAAACTCTCACGCGTCTTGTTATAGTGCTATGCACAAAATTATCAATTCGCACTTTCAGTTTCAGTTTGAATAAATAATATTATTAATTTAAAAAAAATAAAACACATGGAGCTT